GGGGGAGAGGCATAGCTGTCAAGTGTCCCTTATTTGAAGGGACAGTCCCTTATTCCAGCGCCATGTCCCGCTGCTGTCCCTTATTGATGGATGTCCCTTAAATGATGTCCCTTAAATTTCAAAGGAAGCAGCTCCTCTCCCTCCCTCTCTGCCGGCCAGGGAGGAGGGAGGCTCCAACTGTGTTGCTTGGCTGTGTTGCTCACCCAATAAGAAGTCTAAGAACAACTAGGGGTGGAGCTTACATGCCTTGTGTGTGGCTAGTTAATGCAAGCTGAGGGTTTTTTTGAATACTGGACGCCATTTTGTTGCACGTGCTGCTGCAAACTTTGCAGTGCAAATCCAGGCCGGGGAGCCATCTTAAGTTGAGGCTGCATAGGCCTTGTGGTGCATGTGATTCAGATTCTATTCAGTTGAACCTCTGGTTACAAAGTTGGTTGGACAGTGTTCTCGAAGCTACCAGCATGAGTTTGTCCAGACTGCAGGAGGACAGGAAGACTGGAGTGCCTGGAACAGGTGAGGCTGCAAGTCCCTTATTTTGGCTGCTGGTCCCTTATTTTCAAGGCTGCTGGTCCCTTATTTTCAAATCTGTAAGTTGACAGCTATGGGAAGAGGTGGAGAACATCATACATTTTAAGCATTCTTAAGCCACTTCAACAGTCCCACCACCACCAAAAAAATAAAGAATAATGGGAACTGTAGTTTGTGAAGAGTGCTGAGAGTGGGTAGAACACTCACCAACTACAGTTCTTAGGATTCTTTTGCAGGAAGTCCTGACTGTTGAGGTGGTATAAGAGAGCTTTGCATGTATCGTGCGGGCATGAGCTGTGGTTCTTTTGTTCTTGACTCTACCTGCCTCAGATTTTCATGCAATGTTAAGACACCAGTTGGATCCAATCACCGTAACGGTCAATAACCCTCTGGCAGACAGGCCTGGATGTCAATGCAAAGGTTCTGCCGGCATTAAACATTTAAAGCAGTATCATACCGCTTTAAAAAGCCATGGCTCCTCCTAACTAATCCTGTATAGTTTGTTAAGGGGTGCTGAGTGTTGCTAGGAGACCCCCTCACAGAGTTACAGTTCTCAGAGTGGTTTAAGAATCCATCCCTCGTCCCAGGAAACTCTAGGATTCATTAAGAGTTTATTGATCTAGCTGCGGTTTATCTGTGCAATATTTCAGAAGACAAATCACAGCAGTCTATTTGTTCTAAATGATAATAGTTTATAACTAATGGCACAAAGAGTTTAACAAAACCTTGTAAGAACAGCTGCAGCAATGCAATAAAATCTTACCCAGGCATATAAGGATTCCACATCCGAATGATTCGATCCATCCCACCAGTTACAAGACGGTTATTCTTTTTGCTAAGTGCAAATGTTTTCACTCCTTTGTGGACTCGAAAAACAATCTGATCCCCCTCAGCTCTATGGGAGGGAGATCCTAGGACCGACTGTGCTTTCCTCGCCTTGGAATCTTTCCTGTGTTCTTTTATTTCCTTCATCTGTTGTTCAACATTGGTTGCTCCCACAACGCAACCTGTAGAAGGGCAAATGTTTCTGAATCAGCCGTCAGGCCTCAAGTAGACTTCGACACGACTGATAATACACAGTCAAATCACCTTACCTTTTTGGGCATTGGATAATGCAGTACCATTTTTAACATTTAAGAAGAACAGGAGGGATGATTCTTGCAGTGCTTGAAGTTTTCCACAGTTCTAGGTCAAAAAGGAAAGAACATGGTTAAATATGGTCTTCAGTGGTCACCACTGAACTCTACAGACAGGTCTGACAGATAAGACCATTTAGGCATCAAGAAACTGCTCTCAGGGAAAGATGGGTTTCACACACTGCTCAGATAGGCAGATAGTTATAGGAAATGGGGTGTGTGGGGTCTGGTTAAAAAGCACTGGAGATAAGAAAATTGCCTTCATAACGGAGCTGAAAGTAAAAGACACAAAAGGCCTCAACCTCCAATCATGTAATCCGCACATCTGCCTACCTCCATTTTCTCACTTCCCAACACATCACAGCTATATGCCAAAACCAAATGTTGAAGGGAATATTTCTGCTGTGTGGAATCTACCACAAGTAAAGGTAAAGGGACCCCTGACCATTAGGTCCAGTTGTGGCGGACTCTGAGGTTGCAGTGCTCATCTCGCTTTACTGGCCGAGGGAGCCGGCGTACAGCTTCTGGGTCATGTGGCCAGCATGACTAAGCCGCTTCTGGCGAACCAGAGCAGCGCATGGAAACACCGTTACCTTCCCGCCGGAGCGGTACCTATTTATCTACTTGCACTTTGACATGCTTTTGAACTGCTAGGTTGGAAGGAGCAGGGAGCTCACCCCGTGTGGGGATTCAAACCGCCAACCTTCTGATCGGCAAGACCGAGACTCTGTGGTTTAACCCACAGTGCCACCCGCAAATCTACCACAAGTAGAACCTGCCCTTAGAAGTACATAAGCAGAGCCCTGTTGGATCTGTTTGCTCCAGCCAGTTAGTTAATTTTGGGCCCTCAAAATGTCTATTACTTCTAAATTGGCAAGATGTCTGGATTTTTGTGATTTTCCCAAAAGAAGCTCAAAACCTTTCCCTGTTGGTATATGCCACATGACTTTTAATTCTTTTTGATGAATTTATTGTCTTTTGCTTTATTTATATACTAGTGTGTTTGAGATTATTATGATTGCAATGCTCGTTGCTTTCTAACACTACTGTGATTATTATGAGCCGCTTTGAGCTCAACAATTGAAAGGCAGAGTACAACTATTAAATCAGATCAAAAATCAAACCTCTGGAGGCCAGAGGTTCCTCACCCTGCTCTAAACTCTTCATCCTGACTGATCACATGGATGGTACTTGCAACGTGACTACAACACTGTAACATGGGAAGGAAATAAACTGTATATAAGCCATGCAAATGGAAACATGTAAGAACAACTTCCTGGATTCAAAATCAGAAATATAATTACCTATTACTATGGCTGTAGGCTCATGGCTTGAAGCAGAAATGACTGCTTTAATAGAATCATAGTATTTCAGCTAAAAAGACAGAAAACAATAATACATTATCAAAATGCTACAAAATATTGGTTAAATAATGTGTGTTGTTAAGATTGTTTTATAATTGTATTTGGCCCAAATTTACAATGTTTACCTGAGTAACCCAGTCTCCATGAACTTTCCAACGGATGTAAGTGGCATTAGGAGAAAGAGCTGCATTCTCAAGGCTAATATTGGAAGGTTTTCCGATTTGGGCAGTTTTTTCCATGTTCTGAAACATGTTCAGAGAACATAATAACATGAAAGAAAAATAATTAAGCTTGTCCATGCTATCAGGTTCCTAATTTGGCCATTTATCGCCATAGGAAGCACCTGACCTTTGTTTTGTGATTTGCAAAATGTTGTGAGTTCATTAGTGGAAGCTCTCAGAGCCCCAGCGCTTTCTGTTGTTTCAGAGTTCACCTCGTAGATCCCTAACCTTTCTCATTTGTGGGCTCTAAAGCCAATGGCAGCACCTTCATAATTGACTGAAGAGGACACTCTACAACTGGCTAGAAAAGCCCTGAGTTCTTGCATGACCTTCCAATTAAGTACTGAAACACAGAGTCAAGTTATCTCCCTTTGTTAAGAAGAGTAGATGCTCCTCTTCCCCTTCTGTTCAGCTGGAAAATGGCCTCCCAGATGCCACCCTAACCTTTTGTTAGTTTTGTATTTCTATCTGCAGCAGAGCAGAGACAGAGAAGCAGAAAAATAATGCTCCTCTGCACTAGAGTTCAGTTGCCACATGGTCATGTGTATTGCCAGAAGAGCTTAGGCCCTGTACAGCAAACCACCAACTTATAAGGGGTTACATTCCAGGGATCATGCCTAAAGCCAAAATCGCATATACAGTGGTACCTTGGTTTACAACCGTTCTGGAGGTCCGTTTGTAAACCAAAACAGGTTGTAACCCAAGGCACGCTTTCGCCAATGGGGCCTCAAAAAAAAAATTTGTTTGTAATCCAAAAAAAATGGGTTGTAATCCAAAAAAGGTTGCAAACTAGGACACGCACTTCTGGGTTTGATGTGTTTGTAATCCAAAACGTATGCAAACCAAGACATATGCAAACCAAGGTACCACTGTAATCAAAACCCATTGGGTTCAATGGCAGGTGGATTGCCAAAGTCATTTTCCCCAGAACCCTGCCTGCTTTCCACCCCCTTTTCATTCATTCATCCATTCATTTTTTGCCAAATGCGTAAAGCTGAATGCGCACAAGTTGAATGTGTATAGGTAGCAGGCTTACTGTACACAGAAAAGTCGGTTTCCAGAATCCAAACGTACTAGCTGCATCAGCCGCGTTAAACAGCCAACACTGTAGAAACACAGCAATAGTAGCTCCAAACCTCCCAAGATAATGGGGCCTCTTCTAGGAATTGTTTTCTGTTTCCAGGTTTGTGGCCACTGTTGCTCAGGGAAGTTGGCAACTGGAAGCACACCTTTTGTGGAATGATTAACGAAATGTCTACTTTAGTTCTCAACAGACACTTTCAAACACTTGCCTGAGGACCTCTCCCACAGAGCAGATGAGCAAGATATTGACACAGCCCTGCAATCACAAAGAAGGTGCACACTGGAAACATGCTGAAAACAAACTGCAGGAAAGGTCACAATCGGGCGGCTTTCAGGCTTTTGAAGACAAAACCCTGAGATTAATAGGATGAGTATGATTAACTTTCAGCAGCTGTTCTTATTGATAGGGAATCTGTACCGATTGCCTGCTTTTCATGTAGTTATGGACACAGGCATGATTGCAAGGGAGATTTCCCATTAGAAATTATGTATGAGAGGGATGTATGAGAGGGATCTCCCTTAGTCCAACCTTGCTTATCTGAAAGTCCTCTACTTTGCCATACATACTGCATCTAGCCAATACTGTACAACCTCTGGCATCTCTTGCTATCTGTTGTACTTTCCCTACATATCTACTCCATAATCCGGGGAATTAAACAGCAGCTGTGGCAAGCTGGGTTTCCCACCCACTGAGTTTTAAGGCCTACAGTTTCCCTAGCAAGCGTTTTTCCCCAATACACACCTGGTCATCTCCATAAAGAATCATGCATTCATCATGATCTGTGTAGCTGAATTGGAGGGGGAAACAAAGAGGAAGAAAAATTAAGTATTGCTTAAAATCAGTGTTCTGAGCCAAAATAATATTTTGGGATTGCCCAATAACTTCCAAGACAAACCTGAAGACATATCTAAAGGAGATTATGTTAACACCCAAGGTTTTAGCACAAACTATTGATTTTGCCAATGGGACACAGGTGGCGCTGTGGTCTAAATTACTGAGCCTCTTGGGCTTGCCGATCAGAAGGTCGGTGGTTTGAATCTCCGCGATGGGATGAGCTCCTGTTGCTCAGTCCTAGCTCCTGCCAACCTACCAGTTCGAAAACACACCAGTGCAAGTAGATAAATAGGTACTGCTCTGGCAGGAAGGTAAAGCCGTTTCCGTGTGCTGCTCTGGTTTCGGTGTTCCATTGTGCCAGAAGCAGCTTAGTCATGCTGGCCACATGACGCGGAAAAACTGTCTGTGGACAAACGCCGGCTCCCTCAGCCTGTAAAGCGAGACGAGTGCCGCAACCCCAGAGTCGTCTGTGACTGGACTTAACTTTCAGGGGTGCTTTACCTTTATTATTATTATTATTATTATTATTATTATTATTATTATTAATTTTGCCAGCTTATCTTCATGCAGTGCACAGTTAACCAATTGTTATAAAAATTCTAAGGTCTCAAACATGAAATAAATCTTCAGAAGTTCATAAGTATATAAAACCATGACACTCACCCTTCCTGTGGTGTCATGCTTTATAGAATCAGCACTCAGGGCATTCATCATGAGAAATCAAAGTGGCATTTAATGTCATGGAGAAATTAAAATGAAAACTTAACACAGGCTGGCATTCAGCCCAAGGAGACTCAGAACAGGTCCTGGGGCCTTTGTAGCTACTAGAGGCAGTGGCGGAGCTTCATGCTCCAGCACTGGGGGGTGGAGAGCAGGCGGGGGCAGGGCTGGCACACGTCCTGGGGGCGGAGCACCCAGCGCAGGGGGGGAGCCACGATGGGGATCGCGCTGCTGGGGGCGGTGCGCTCCCCCCGCACTCCTCTTCCTCTGCCAGTGACTAGAGGGTGTTGGGTCCTGATTCTGGGCCTGCTAGGGAGTTCCAGGTAAACCAACCTGAGCTTGAAGAAGAGGATATAAGTGTAATAATAGATATAGCCACACATATAGAAGTATGCCATGATTATTAGCAGATAATTGACATAAGACCTGAATTTTAGGTGCCTTACCAGTAATCCACATTCAAAGGTATAGCTTCTAAACCACTAATTTGAAGGTAGGGTTCAAAGTTGGAGCTTTCGTAGAGCTGAAGTTCGCGATCCCTGTCACAAAGTTGAAATGTTATATATTTTACCATCATGTGTTGTATGAACTGGTTTCCCATAATAAGGAGGCAATTAGCAGTTGAAGGAGGGATTCTCATTCCGAAAACAGTGTTGGGGAAAGGGTTCAAAACCTTCCCCCAAGTTGTGACCCTAACTGAGGGACCCTTGCAGCTTCTATTTGTTAACATTCAAAGAGACAAGAGATTCCGTTACTGATCTCCATTATCCCATCAAGTTAGCCCCGAAGCCAATGCCCTGTCCACTATGCCAACCCTGTAATGCTGGCCAAGATCCCAAACTGCTTTGTTTATGCAGCTTTCTCCAGTCAACCCTAAAGCTTTGGACGAAAGAAATGTTGGTAACAGGCTTTTATTTGAGCTTTTGCGCATAGGGCACTTACCCAGTTCCCAATATCAACTTATTATATGGTGTCATGACAGTGAAATCCATCAACCACTTAGATTTTCTGTAGGCTTTCTCCTTTAAAAAGAGAAAAGGCAAGAAGTTAAGTATTGCCTGCCAACTCCAAGGTATGGTCTGAAGGCACATGAGGCCACCATCTTGCTGAAGCAATGTAGATCTGGGATTGGATGGGAGACTGCATTGGAGCCGCACACAAGTATGCTGCCTTGGGTTCCATGATGAAAACAGGCAGGATTTAAACATAAGGGTGGGGGTGGGAAAATAAGCAATCATTCCTGAATCATGACTACTTTGGCTCTCATCTTTTCAAAGGAAAATTGAACTAAAAGTAGCTGAGGTACAGACAGTCCTGGGTAGAAGACAGGAGGACACAAACCTTTTATATTCAGGTGAATGAGGAGGAACTTTTAAAATGTAATCTTGCCAGAACTTAGGGCATATAAACCGAAATAAATAAGCAGGGCCTTGTGCCAGTCACTGCCTCTCAGCATAACCCACCTCACAGGGCTTTTGTGAGGAATAAATGAGGAGAGGGAGAACCATGTTTGCCATTTTGAGCTCCTTGAAGAATGAATAAATAAGTAAAACCGGTCATCCCAGAACCTATGACATGAGAAAATGTGACATACAAACACCATCTTGCTTCGTATCAGCTTGAGCTGTGGTGACCAGAAGGAAATATGTCCGTCTTCTCGAGCTGTTATCAATGTGCTATCCAACAGCGAGCAAATTTTCAGCACAGGCTCTCCATGTGGGATCTCCTTTATGGTGGCAGGTAGTGCAAAAGAGACCTCTTTCAATCGGGCAGATGACTCATGTTGTTCAGCATATTCCAGCTGCATGTATGTGCAGAAGTCATGCTGGGGCGGAAAAAAGTGACAGTCATTGTCTCAGCGCTCAAGAGGCCAGATCCCATGCGTATGTACTTGAAAGTGAGTCCTGCTGTGTTCAATGGGGCTTACTCCTAAGAAACTATGCATAGTAACAATGCCATCATAAACACATCACTGCCAAAATGGAGCCAACTAATGTTGGTATTTGGGAAAGATGGAGGGCACAAGGAGAAGGGGACGACAGAGGACGAGATGGTTGGACAGTGTTCTTAAAGCTACAAACATGAGTCTGACCAAACTGTGGGAGGCAGTGTAAGACAGGAGTGCCTGGCGTGCTCTGGTCCATGGGGTCACAAAGAGTCAGACACGACTAAACGACTAAACAACAACAAATGTTGGTAATGTATGCATTGTGAGGCACCAACTATAGGAGAAAGCAAGGCCCTTGTTGTATCACTAAGAAGTTCAGTGTCCACATTTTAAGGATGAAACTTCACATTGATAATGCAATCTTATACATGTGTATGGTTGGAGGAGAAATTTGGT